TAAGTATAATTACACAAAATAAAATAAAAACTAGTGTCAGAAATCCCATGAGGGCTGGGATGTAGCTCAGGGGCAGAGTACCTGCCTACCAACCACAAGGACCTGAATTAATTCCTAGTACTTCCAAAAAAAAAAAAAAAAAAAATTCCACATAATATTTGAAAATAACAGTTAATGTGTAGAATTTTCACCTTGACTATGCTGATAATCTGTGATCTGAGCAACTACATCAAGGACAGCAATGTGTAATGTAAAACCCATGACTGAATACCTCTCATCTTGGTCTTCTAAATGCATACTTTTTCTAAAATTATTAGACTTTCTTCAAAATAAAACAAAGGGAAAAAAAATTAAGAATTCTTGAAAGGAAGTGCCAATATTCAATTATTTCCCCAATCTTGCATAACTGTATCTGTTAATCTGAGCAAGAGATTTGACAATAAAAATAGATAATATAACAATCATTGTTAACTAGCTATTCCTGTTTTGAAAAATCTATAACATATATATTGTTGTATGTTACCCTGTTTCTGTCAGTTTTTCTTTTTTTAAAGGAAATTTTATTTCATTTTATTTTTATTTTACTTATTTTTTTGTGGCCAGCTCAACCCACCCTAGGGATTAAACCACATGGTCCCTGTACACTTGCCTAAGCTTGTAGACTGCTGAGCGCTTTAGACTGCTGAGCTATCTTGCCAGCCCTGTCTTTTTTTTTTTTTTTAGTACAAGTACAGGGTCTATAAGGTCTCACTACACAGACATGACTCATAGTGATCCTTCTGTTTTCAACCTCCCAAGCACTGGGATTACAGATGCACATCACCATGCCCAGTCTCAGTCGTCTTCTCAGTGCGCTCCAGAGGCAGGGCTGGCATGACACTAGGGATCAGACCCTGGTCCTGGGCCTGCGTAAGGAGGTGCTTTAGTTCACTGAGCTATCTGACCGGCCCTTTTCTATTTGTTTTTGTTCTGTTTTTACTCTTCAAAATAAATTAAGAAAAAAAAATTATAAGTCATCTGTTCCCATGTAAATTTAAAACTTATACCTTTATCTTGATGACTGCTAGTTGTCCCCAGGAGCTCCAAGTTAGAATCTACACTGCCAGTTTTACCCCGTGTATGTGACAATCCAAGTTGCCCGCACTTCCCAGGAAGATTTGTCTTACGAGTCCCAGCTGTACGTTTTGGGAAAAGAAAGGGAAACACACAGAAGTAAAAGTAAACTTTATTTCATATGTTCATGCTATTTCACATAATGTAGATTGGAATAAATACAGGAGTATAAGTATAGTTAGCCAGGCAGGCAAAATAAAGGATAAATTTTTTATTCTTTTTTACTATTAGTAAATAGTACTGGCTTTTACTATTAGTAAATCTGAGTAGAGGTTAAAGAACAGAAAATCAGCTGGAAAAGAACAGGGAAAAGGGGCTGGCAGGATAGCTCAGTTGCCTAAATCGTCTGCTTGGCAAACTCATTCAGGTGCATGGGACCAAAGTTCGATTCCTCAGCACCACAGGCCACACCAGACTGTCCTTAAGGTGGGCCTAGCCAGCCCCCAAAACCAAAACCAAACAAATAAAAAACAGAACAGGGAAAGGACAGGTACACTGAAGAGTATATACAAAGGCAGTATCTGCATTCTCCTTTTCTCACTAAGGAGTGTTTCTCTATAACCTGGGTGTCTCTGTTACTTTTTACTCATTGCTGGGACAAAATACCCAACACCAAAAATGAAGGAGCAGAGGTTTATTTTGCTCACAGTCTGTGGAGCAAAAGGTTTCAGTCTATACTGGGCTGGCTCCCCGGCAAAGTGACACACAGCAGAGGGCAGCGGTTCATGGCGGCAGAAAACAGGAAAGAGCAAAGGGAAGGGCAGCAGCTGTGGCCTCTCGCCAGCCTCTCTCCCCACCTTACATCATAAGCAGGCTGCCCTGGGGCTGCGGGTGCAGGACTCACACAGTGGTCATGCCCTCCCCTTGTACAGGATAGGATGTTTACAAAGCAAGAATCCTGGCTCTCTGCTGAGTGACTTAATTAAACTCCTAAACTTCTCAAGCTAAAACAACTTATCAACCAGTGCACTGGGTTTCCTTCTTCCTGGTATCTGTAGTATACATACTACAGAAAAAAGTTCTACTTCAGAACTCTGCTACTTTCTTAAAATACCCACAACTTTCAGGTACTCCAGCTTCCAAGCGTACTTTTAAATTTCTAAGCATGTTTCCTGGGTACCTTGCCCTCTCCGGTGGCTGAGTAAGGTTATTCCTGGGTAGCTGACAAAGTTTTTTTTTTTTTTTTAAAAAGGTGATGATAAAAAAAAAAAAAAAAAAAGGCGATAATGACTTCTCTGGCAGTTTATTTATCCACAAGATGAATACAGGTGGTCCTTTGCAGTTCTATGATTTTTTTTGTTTGTTTTTGGTTTTTGTTTGGAGGACCGAACCCAGGGTTTCCAGCTTGCTAGGCAAATATTCTACTGCTGAGCCAAATCCCCAGCCCCATTTCTATGATTTTTTTTTTTTTTTTAATCCTCTCCCTGTGATTGCAGGGCTTTTCTCTTTACTGTACTGGACACCTTCTAGGCTAATTCTTTCACCCATGAGTTTGGTTATAGCGCTCCTCCGCCCAATACTTCCTTTTCATCTCATTGCTAGCTGCAAAATCTTTTCACCTTCACTTTTTTTTAGGGGGTGGGCCACCAGGGATGGAACTCAGAGCATTCTAGGGACTGTTCTGTCCCTAACGGACATTCTCAGACTTTTACATTTTAGTTTTACAAAGGGGTGTCAGTTAAGATAGCTGAGCAAGTTGATCTTGCAGTTGATCTTGTGATTGTCTTCTCCCAGCTTCCAAGGGAGCTGGGATTATAGGAATTATGCCACTGTTTGGCCTTTCCTTTCCTTTTTTTTTTTTTTCTTCTAACCCTAACCCTAACCCTAACTCTAACCCTAACTTTGGCCTTTCCTTCCTTGAGTCCAATTCAAGCCATTTCCTTTCTTGTGGTTTGCTCTATTTTCCTTCATCTTTTACATAAAACTTCATCTCCCTGATTATGTTTTGCTATTTCATTTACAAACAACCTTATTACCCTAGTATCTTTTTGTTAATAAATAATAAATAATAATAAATAACTTCGTCCTTAGCCCTTAAGGCATTTGTAAGTATAAACTGACCTTTTTCGACCCAGTGCACAAGGGCTTCCCTGACCCCAGAGCTTGACTCTTCCAAGGTGCAGTCCCCAGAGCATCTCAAGCCCATCCCTGCGGTAATCCTTTCCTTTCATGCCTTCCCTCCAGCTAGCCGCATCATACAGATCAAATAAAGATATGGCCCAATTACCACCTCTTCCTGAGTGCCTTTTTTTAAACTGAGATGGCTGGCAGCAATGACCAAGTCATCTAGACTGCCATAATAACTGCTTTCTGTAACGGACAATTAAACATCTTTCTACTTGTGCTGGCCTAACTTTCCTAGAGCATTTCAGACACCTCTTTCACATACTTCATATCCATCACCAGCAAATTATATCAACATCACCTCTGACATAAAGTAAGAACCCCCCCCAAAAAAGAAGAGTCCAATGACTCCTACATTCATTGCTGGGCTGGTTACACCCTCCACCAGCTCTAGCCAGGATTAAAATAAGGAACTCTTAATCAGTTCTTTTTGGTCCTTGTCCTCTTTTCACCTATTTTAAACAGAAGATCCAAAATTAGCATGGAAGTGCTCAAGTAGGCAGCACATTATACAAAATTAGCCTGAAAAACAAGCCAAGCAATTTCACTTCTGTCCTTAAAATGCTTCTTATTTAGAGTATAAGCTCTAAACATAAGTTCTAATCTATAAGTTCATTCAATAGCTCAGTAGGTCTTACAATTAAAGACCTTTCTCTTTCACCCCTTTTTTGAAATAGGGTCTTCTTATGTAGACCAGGCTGGCCTGAAACTCACAGCAGGCCTCCTGCCTCAACCTCCTGAGTGTTGGGATTATAAGTGCGCCCCCATGCTCCACATAAAGACCCTATCATCTCTTTTAATTTTCTTTTTTTCCAGAACCAGGGATTGAACTCAGACCATTGCACTTGCTAGGGAAGTGCTTATTCCTCTGAGCCATCTCCCCAGTCTTTTAATTTTCTACTTCTTTTTTCCTTATTTAGTTTCAGACATACAAATGTCTTTAATCACTCCAAAATATGCCCAACATACTTCTATTCAGTGATTGCACTGACTGTTCTCCCTGAAATTCTCTGCTTTTCTTTCCTAATACCTGATGGTCTGCTTCCGTGCTGTCCTTGTAAGTATGACTGCCTTTCACTGTATTATGCAAAATAGTTCCCTGTTCATATTCCTCTCCTTTGCTGTATTTTTATCCATAGGCTCTTTTGTTTTCTAATTTCCTATGTCTGACATTTATTTAATGCCTACTGCCCTCCCTAATCAGAATGCAAGCTGTATTAGAGGAAACTCTTGCTGACACGTACGAAGGAGATGTTGAATAAACACAATATTAAATGAATAAACACATATCATTAAATGAATATTGCTCTACGTTGCTGCTTCATGAGTTTTAATGGGACACTCCTTCAGGGTTTTTTGTGACAATTATGTGAAAAGCCCATTTTTATCATGTCTTCAATAAACATTTACTGAATCTGAACTTTCTATTATGTTATAAACTGTATGAATTCTTGAATGGACTACAAAGCTTAAAGGCTTCCAAGGGCCGGGCCAAGATCCCTAGCTACATATGAGGAGAATGGGGAAGGATGAAGAAAAAAAGACACATTTAGTAATTTGTAAAAGGGGGGCTGAGGATACAGCTCAGCAGCACCGTGCCTGCCTGGCAAGTGCACGGTCCTGAGCTCAATTCTCAGTACCAAAGAGCAACATAACATAACATAAGCGCTAGGAGGTCAGTGCCTTAGGATGGGAAAGATAAAAGACCGCCTTGGTCTGCCCACTTTGAGTTTTTCCAATGAGAAGTGCAGGGGAAGGGGAAGGTACTTTTCCTAGAATAGCAAGGAGATAGAAGAACAAGTGTAGCATCATAAAAGAAACCAGTTAAGATCACTCCCCACACCTGGGTACTTGCCCTCCTGTGTTGTCCTCACCAGACCTCACCCAGCCCTTTGAGCACCATGGCCTCGGGGGCCATTAAGGCCTCGGAGCCTGGCCCTCCATGCATAATTCGCGATCCCCAACACATTACCTTCAACTTTTCCTTACCCGTAGCACACACAGGAAGAGAATCTGGGTGAAGGTCCCGACTGTTCTGAAGTAAGTTTCTGGACACTCTCTTTCTGCTAAAACATAAATCATCACTGGCTGGCATTCCTTGAGAAGACTTTAATTTTGGAGATGGGATGAGATCATACGATGAAAACTATGAAAAAAGAATAATGAGTTAGCAAATCTGTGTTAAGTCTACTGATAACTTATGGGACAAAATAATTTAGACCTAATTATGATACTAAGATTGGAAGTTAAAGTGTTATCAAATATACTACAATTCATATGCAGTATGATATGCTAACAGTGTTTTTCATTTCAAGATAGAAATGTTAATTTTTTTTCAACCCCCTTCTGTATTTTATCATAATACAATATACATCTCATCACTGAAAAGGAGAGAATACAAATGACAACTTGAATGAAGAACAGGCAGCCTGGCCGAACCTCAGAACCCTTAAACGATGCCATCCTTGCACAGTAGACAATAAACGCCTGTTGCAAGTCACAGAGTAAACAAGCATCCCATCACTCATCTCACTGAGGCAAATGCACTTCCCATATCCTCCAGCCAAAATGTAAAAACAAATGATGTGCTGGCCTGTTTTATAGTTTTCTTAACAGATTTTACCTGGGTCTCTTAGTTAGAACAAAGTTTGTAAGGTCTGGAGGTGTAGCTCAGTGACAGGGCACGCGCTTAGCACGCAAGGTCCTAGGTTCAATTTCCCATCAAACAACAAGAAACCTAATTCCATTTCAAATACGCCTCGAACTTGATGGCTTCTAAGTCCTTCCCGCATACACTCCACGTGCTCATTAAGGCACCGCGTGACAGGGTGTACTTCTGAGGATGCATCTAATCACAGTTCAACAAAGCGTGATTCAAATGTTTGGAGTTCTTCACTCAGGACAATCTCATGTGTACTGAATCATTTCACATTCAAATGGCTATAAACATTCAGAAAACCTGAGTGAATTAACAAACTATGTATTTATTTCTAATTTACAGAAACAAATCCTCACATGGTAGACTATCAGCCTTGCTTATATGCTTCTTTGTGAACTCTGTCCAGTGCCCAACAGAAACAAAACAAAATTAAATCGAAGATATGACTATTTCAAAATTTCTTAACTCCTTAATTGTTATAAAACTATAAACTACCAAGCGTACCTCAGGTACCTCATTGTTGTGCATCACATTTTGTGTACAAACTGTTAACTCCTTCAAAAATTAACAAGGAAACATTAATGAAGAATGAATAATGTCCAAGTGAAAATGGACTAATTTCCTTTTCACAAGTCAACATTATAATTCTACAACTGTATGGTAGTATTAAGAGGACACAATGAAATAAAGACAAACCACTTGCAGCGAGCTTCTGATTAGATATATTAAAAGACAAATACACAGCTTTGAGAGTAAGTAATCTAGAAAAAAACCTTCAGAATGGAATATATTTCATATTGAATTTATTTTGTATTTATTGTCGCTTAGAGAACAGAACGTTAAAATATATGACGGGATCATTGTCTGTCAAATGAGGAAGGTGGTGGTGACAGGAGTGATGGCATAGGGTGTGTGCATGTGTGTGGGCATGGGTGCTTTTAGAAATCTCAAAAAAAAGTCTCGAAGTTAGTCATATAGGGACTTGCTACTGAAAATATTTGATAAAGGACTCTAGGAAGTACCAAATATTAATGTAAGTGGCTTTTTCTGGTTTTTCTTAAAAGCAAATGATTTTCATCACATCTGCATTTTTCTCCCTTCCTCACCCTAGTTTTTCCTTTTAAACAATTTATTCCCTATTTACGATGTCTACTGTACATTTAGACATCACTCTTTCAACTTCTCACACCAGTGAGACAAGATGCTCACACACCTGAGTCAGATTTATTTCACTTATGAGTATGGTCTCAAATAGTATCCATTTACCTATGAAAATCTCCAGTTTGTTCTTTATGGCTTCCTTCTATAAAAAGACCACATTTTAAAAAATCATTCTTCAGTTGATGGGCATTTGGATTGTTTCAAGCTCTAGCTATTACAGATTGTGCTGCTATAAACATGGGTACATGTATATCTCTGTGGTTCGATGTTTTTAATTCTTCTGGAAAAACACCCAGGAAGGGAGTAGCTGGCCAAATGGGACCTCCAATCCTGGTTTTTTGAGAAATCCCCACACTGATTTCCACAGTGGTTGCACCAGTCTACACTCCCATCAAGAGAAGGGTACTTTCCCCCCACAGCCTCTCTAGCATTTGTTATTGGTTGATTTCTTAATAGCCATTTTTTTTTTTGGGTGGGGCGAGATGGAATCTCATTGTTTTAATTTGTATCTCTTGAATGACCAGTGATGTTAAACACTGTTTCATACGTTTATTTGCTGTTTATACTGCTTCATCTGAGAAGTCTATACTCACGTCAAATGCCTTTTGAATCAGGTCTTTAAATTTTGATTTTTTTGAGCTCTTCATATGTTCTTTTTTTAAAAAAAATTTTATAGTACCGGGGACTAAACTCAGGCCCCTGTGCTTGCCAGGCAAGCACTTATTCTACTGAGCTATCTCCCCGGCCCTATATGTTCTTGATAGCTAACCTATGTCCGAGGAACAGCTAACAAACATTATTTCCTACATTGCGGATTGTCTCTTCACGTTGTTGGTTGTCTCTCTTGCTGTGCCAAAGCTTTTCAATAAGATGAGATCCCAGTTGCTGATTCTTTGTGATAGTTCCTGTGCAATCAGGGTTTTGTTCATAAAATCTTTGCCTATAACAATATCTTTAAGTGTTTTTTGCCTACTCTATCTTCCCTCAGACTTTCTGTTTCTGTTTTCATATTTAGATCTTTGATCCATTTCAAATTTAGTTCTGTGCATGGTAAAAGATACCAGTCCAATTTAATTTTGGCATGTGCAGAGCACCATTTATTAAGAGGCTTTCTTCCATTGAGTGCGTTTGGCGTCTTTGTCAAAGATAGCATGGCTGAGTGTGTCTGGAGCTGTTTCTGCCTCTTTTAATCTGTTTCACTGATCTTTGGGTCTGTTTTTTTTGTTTGTTTGTTTTTTGTTTTTTGTGCCAACACCACTGGTTTTTTTATAGCAGCTTTATAGTATAATATCAAGTCAGGGATTGTGATGTCCCTGCCTTGCCTTTGTTGCTCAGAACAGTCTCTGCTCTTCTAGTTCTCTTCTGGTTCTCTTTCTCTCTTTTTTCTTCTTTTTCTGGTTCTCAATGAATTTTACAATGTTCTTTAATTCTGTGAGATATGCTGCTGGAATTTTGATCAGAATTGCATTAAATCTGTATAACAGTTTTGGAAGTATGGCCATTTTCACTATATGGTTCCCCCTACCCAAGGGCAAGGGATGTCTTCCATTTATCTGGTATCCTCTTTGATCTTCATTTCACAGTACTGTATTTTTCAATATATAGCTCTTTTACTTCCTTTGTTAGCTTGATTCCTAAGTATTTCATTTTGGGGGATGCTACTGTGAAGGGTGTGGTTTCCCCTAATTTCTCTCTCAGTGAGTTTGCTGTTTGTGTACAGGAATACAAATGTTTTTTGAGTGTTGACTTTATATCCAGTTGAGCTACTGAATTTGGTTACTAAGTCTAAGTCTTTTGGTGGAGTTTTTGGGGTCTTCCATGTAGACTATCATGTCATCTGTGAATAATTATAGTTTAATACCTTCCTTTTCAACCCTTATTCATTTTATTTCTTTCTCTTGTCTAATTGCTCTGGCTAGTTCCCAGATGTATATTGAATAGGAGTGATGATAGTGGACATCCTTCTGTTGTTCCTGATTTTAGAGTGAAAGCTTTCAGTTTTTTTTTCCACTTAGTATAATATTTGCTATTGGTTTGTCATTTATTTTTCCAGGTTCGGGTAAAGATCATGTATTCCGTGTATTAGCTGAATCTTGAGAAGGATTTTTTTTTTCTTGGCTGGCTGGCTCAGGCTGCCTTAAGGGCAGGTCTGGTGTGGCATGTGGAGCTGGGGATTGAACCACGGTTCCCTGTGCATGACTGGGTTTGCCCATGCAGGCTCTTAAACAACTGAGCTAATCAGCAAGCCCTGAAAGCTTAGATTTTTTTTTTTTTAATTAGCTGAACCTTGAAAACTGCCCAAATGCCCATAGTGAATGGATTAAAAAAGCTGTGTTTTTTTTTTTAATACGATAGAGTACTACTCTGCTATAAAGAAGGATAAACTTGAGATATTTCTAGCTAAATGGATGCACCTTGAGGTCATTCTCTTAAGTGAAATAATTTGGACATATGTATAAATACTGCATCACTTCTCTGATGTGAGAAACTGATAGTGTAAATAAAAACAAAATGTGTAAGAGATACTGTGAAGTAAGAAGAGAATGTTCAAATGGGAAGGGGAACTAGGAAAGAGGTGGAGGAAAGGAAGGGAAAAGGAAAAAAATGATGAGAAAAGAAGGAAAAAATGGGGACAAAGCCTTTGTAAATAAGGAGGGGAAGAGAAGCTTAACAGAGAGTAGGGGAATGGCGAAAAAATCGAGTTATAACATGTACAGGTATCCCGATCATGAATGCAATCTATCTATCTATCTATCTATCTATCTATGTCATACCAATGAACTTAATTAAAAAGAAAATAAGCTCATAACATTCAGTAGTCAACAGTTTCCAAATTGTAAGAAGGTTATACTCTGTTTCTTTCCCAGTGCATGTCTGAAATACAGTATTGGTCCATGAATATAGCAAATCTCGGTCATTTTCAATGCCTTTACTCTTTCTGCTTTCCAACTTTAGCCTTTTAAAAATGCTAAAAGTAAACTTACTGTATGCACACTGAACCTATTTCTCAATCTGTTAGTTGTTTCTTGCTGTATAATCAATTATCTCAAAACATACTAGGTTAAAACAGCCAACATGTACTATCTTTCCATGTTTCAGGCATATGGAAGCAGCTGAGGGGGATAACTAGCTAAGTGGCTTAGCTGGATGGTTCAGGCTGTGGTCAAGAAGCTGGTACTCAGTGGAATAAGCGCTTGCCTGGCAAGTGCAAGGGCCTGAGTTCAATCCCCGGTTCTACAAAAAAAAAAAAAAAAAAAAAAAAGAAGCTGGTACTGTCAACTGACGGTTGCACTGAGACAGGAGGGTTGGTGACATCTGCTGCTGCA